GTCTAAAAATTCACATAGATGACTAGACATTAGGTTTTCTTATAAAAAAAATACTGATTTTTTTATGAATTGTATATTATTATCACTATATTTGCAATAAATTATATAATGTTATATATAAAATATAATTTTTTTGTAGCGTGTCCTCAACGTGTCTGTGTCCTACTTTTTTGATAAATGTCGTATCGGCGTGTCCGTGTCGTGTCCCGTATCCGTGTCCATGCTTCTTAGTTTGCAACTATTACCTTGCCCTATTTTTCATTGACAGCTCAATATCTTGTACACATCCTACCAGTTTTCTTTTCTGCNAATATAATTTTTTTGTAGCGTGTCCTCAACGTGTCTGTGTCCTACTTTTTTGATAAATGTCGTATCGGCGTGTCCGTGTCGTGTCCCGTATCCGTGTCCATGCTTCTTAGTTTGCAACTATTTCCTTGCCCTATTTTTCATCGACAGCTCAATATCTTGTACACATCCTACCAGTTTTCTTTTCTGCGACCTTTTCACTGTTTACGAACTCTATGAGCTCTTTTGGTGCAAAATTTTCAGCTACATTTGGAATTCATGCTTCCAGAGTTGCATCATTCATTTTTCTTGTCTATGCTGCTTACCCATGTCTTAAAATTAACATTCTGTGGCTGTTCTGAGGAAGGATTGGTTAGTTTTGAGAAAATCAAAGTGTTTGGTTCATAAAAGTTAAGTTTATATGGGCATCTGCATTCTGAAGGCCTTGTATTTCCTACTTGTTGTCAATATTCATGCAATGAAATACTGGTGCCTGAGGACCTTGTCATGCTGTTTTAGTCTGTGATGGTTTGTCCTTCCTTCACTACCTCCGCTGTGAGACTGTATTGAATATTAGCAATAGTTCCTTCGATCTGTGTCTGGTCTTCTTAGTAACCGCTAGTAGTTTTTTGGATAAATGATTATCACTTTTACTTGCGAGTCTAAAGTTGTCTGTGAGAGCTCCTAAAGTGGCATGGGATACTCTAGGAAAACCTGGCGACAATAGGTTAGCTTTCTTATTTGTACATTTGTTTAAGACATCAGTAGTATTGGACCTCACTGACTGTGGCTTTTGCAGACACTTTATAGTTTCCGATTTACGGGGATCGTAGCATTTGCTGAAGTTCTGTACTGTCTGTCCTGTGCTGCTGTGTACAATACTGTAGCTGGACTAGTGAGGCTATTTTAGTTTCTTTGTTTGATTTATTGGTACCATGGGTGTAAAGTTGGTATTATAATTAACTATTGGCCCAAGAGCATTTGTTAGTGGGATCAAATAGTTTTATGTCGAAGCTATGAGAGCAGCATACGGGCAATAGAGATTTCTAGTTGCTAATGACTTGCCTTAGGCTTATATGTTGGTCCAAGAACATTTGGATTTGCTTCCTTGGTACCATGCAGGAGGTTTTCCTCTTTGTTTTCCTAAAGCTCTTTGGGAGATTGACAACGAATGTTCATTATATTAGTCCTATCAAATGTTTCCTTTAGGTGGCAAGTGGCAATAGTTCCTCAGTATTTCCAGTGTGCTAAACAGATTTGGTATGCAATATGGAAGAAGATGCTTTTGTAGAGTCGATATCAGCGTTGGACAGATAGTGCTTATTGGTTGAGTAGTATGGGCCAGCTAGAGAAAAGAGTTCAATGATTTAAAACATGGGAGTGGGATCAAGGGACTTCAGGATTCTGTATCTTTTGACAGAAAAGGACAGAAGGACAGCGAAAGGGTGAGAGAGGGTTTTTAACCTTTTTCGGTCATGGTGATAGTATATCTGTTTGGCTTGACAAACCGACAGGTAACTGATTCTCTTAGTTTTGTTTTGTTCTTTCACAAAGGTTGATTGCAATGAGAATTTCGGCAATGAAGATTTAATGGAGAACAATGTAGTTCTTCCTATATTCTTTTTATTAGTCCTACCTTAAGTTTTGTCCGCTTCACTTCCTTTGTCCCTTGACGACTGTACATTATTCACAAGCCTTTAGTTTTTGTAGTTTTCTGATAAAAATTTAAGTATTTTTCCTCTCGACTCTCATAAGAAATTGTGTAGCCCTTTGGAACTATTAACTTTATTCAAACACTTTGAGTACTCTGGAGTCTGGATTGTTGAGCGGTTTGCTGTGAAGATATTATTTGTTGAGATGATGAAATATAAGTGAGTAGTCTACCTTGAATGGGAGACGAGCTCTAGATATATATTTATTTAATAATAATAATAATCTATTCTACTAATAAGAAAATTTTTTGAATCTCTATTTTACCTTTATCAAAGATTGCAGAGACTACTCTACCTTTCACAATTAAATATTTAAATTACCATAATATCTTTATGTATTTAAATATCCAAATTATCTATAACATCTCTTTTAATTATCTATTCTTTATGTAAAAATATCAGTTTCTATAAAAAAATTTGACTGGTTACCTTAAAAAGATATGCATCATTATATTTTCAATAAAGTGTTCAAAAAACCTTAAAAAACTCCACCAATCTAATATTACTCATCTCATAAGCAAAGATAACATTATGTTTACATATATGTATTTTCTTTTCATCAAAAAGTTTAACCCTTTCATTTCTAAGATAAAAAATAATTGTATATATAATTTTTTAAAATTAATTTATGTTAAATTAGTATAATTCTTCAGTCACAATAAACTTTTTCAGTTGTACTAAGATTTTATATAAAAATAAATATTGTATTGTATTTATGAAGTTTAAAAAATTTAATTTCTTAAATATCAATTAAAAATAAATCTCAATCACAAAATTCTAAAAAAAAATGGAACTTTAGTTATTTTTTTAAATTTTTTTATAGTTAGAATAAAGAATTTTGGAAACATACGAAGTTTTCATATTCTCATAATAGAATATGAGTAATGAAAAATTAAGTTTGATAAATTTGAGATGATATTTAATTTAGATACATATATACCTAATATGTTTTATTTAAGTCAATTATATTCCTATATTTACCTTCATCGAATTTTTGTTTTTATACCTTTGACTTCTAAGTTCTTTTGAATTCTTTTATAGCTAGTATTTGACTTTCAAATTATTTTATCTATGTCTATATCTATATTCCGAAGCAAAGACAACTCTATTTTTTTTTATTCTATACATGTAGTTATCAAATTGAATTCTAAGATCAAAATATATGTTATATTTGATTTTTTTTTTCAATAATTATCTTTAACAAGAAATAAAACATAGATTAATTCTCCCATACCAAATTTATTATTTAATTTAATTACACATAAAATTCATATTTTCATAGATTCAACAAAAAATTTATTATTTAAATTGTTTATGTGCAATGTACGTCGTCCATTGATAGTATATGTATTAACTAGAAATTACAAAACTGTGAAGATCAAAGCATTTAACCTAAGGTTTATAGTGGAGATCAAAACAGCAATATGCAATGGGATTCTCTTCCCCACAATGAGTACACTTTTTGAACATTATTAGTCCCACTACCTCTAGCTTGCCTGCGGCCTGTACCATAACCATCAAATCGAGAATTTTAATGTCCAGCACCACGACCTCCAAAANTATCCGCGGCCTGTACCATAACCATCAAATCGAGAATTATAACGTCCAGCACCACGACCTCCAAAACCAGTGTTAGTACTCCATCTTTCAAAACCACCAACTGTTTGGATTTCTTATCCAACATTTTTTGATGTACTTTCTTAATACAAGTTCTTGTTTCCTATAAAAAAAAAAAGAGAGAGAATAGATCAANATCCAACATTTTTTGATGTATTTCTTAATACAAGTTCTTGTTTCCTATAAAAAAAAAAAGAGAGAGAATAGATCAATAGTGAAAACTTTTCCAATCTCAAAGTGTATGGCATATATCCAGTAGTAACTTGAACAATTTTAACATACACATTACTCAAAGAAGGAATACTTTATTTACTACCAAAATTTGAGCCCATAGAAGATTTGGATAAAGTTTGGGAAGAAATTTAAAAATGTACGACTCTAAATTTTGGTTCATAGGAATCTCCGATCACTAGTGAAAAGGTGATATTGATTCAAAGGCCGTTGAAGGTGCTATAGTAGTCATACACAAACTTAGAATTCTTTTGAAGAAGGAACAAGTTCTCGTAAACCTTATACACTTGAGATATATTTTCGCCCTCAGTATGCCTCACGAACAACCTCCCAAATCTCCTTAAAAAATGGAAAAAACAAGAAATTTGCCCACACGTAGTTCTTGGATTCCCATTCCTCATTATTCTTATCATTGGAAGATGGAGGATTCATACTATTTCGTAACTAAGACATAACCACATAGTTCTCGGATTCCCATTCCTCATTGTTCTCATCATCAAAAGATGGAGGATCAGATAGAATGTATTTCAACTTCCTCCTAGCCCTTAATGCCACCTTCATAGCTTGTGCCCACTAGCAATGCAAGGTTCAAAGCATCGGCTGATACTGATACAATCAGCCTAGTCATATCTGACTCGGTTCTTCCATGTCGATATTGTTCCCCGTTAAGTATAAACTCCACGTTTCGCACATGTTGGTTGAGTCATCCAGATTTCTTCAGATTAACCCTGAGTCTTCGAGTTATTGTCATCGAATCGGCTGATACTGTTTCTGGACAGCCCGACATGACTTGAATTTCTCGCCATGTTCAACTTCTTCTTTTAGTTCGTATTGCTCAACACCGTTCCGTGATGCCGCGATCCATGTATCTCAGAGCCTCCCGAGTTGATGGTCAATGCCATGACCTTCAACCGCAATGACATTAGAGGATATAGTCGTTGCTACATTCACAGTACTAGAGTTGGCAATCCCCCATAAATTAAAAAAACCACACAAATCTACATAAAAAACTCTTAACAATAACCTTTAGTACACCAATAATTTTATGATACCACAAAGCACCACCCACATAACCAGAACTATATGAGTCAAACACATGATTGGAGGAGCTCTGGATTGGTTTCTGTTTCTGTTTCTGTGGTTTTTTTTTTAACAATGAGGTCAGATACGAGTTGTATTCTGATTCTTGGAAGAAAAGAAATATGCTTCTCGGGCATTTCAATCTATTTATTACAAACAGTCAACTATTTGGTCCCCTTATTCTTCCAAAAATTTTAGTAAACGATTAGTTCGATTTTTATAGTCCCCCTACTCACATCCCACTTTTTTTGCAGGCACAAATTTATATTATCAGTAATCAAGGCTTACTATTTGTCCATAGACTATAGTACATGTCAACTCATTTTCTATGGCTTATGCAGGAACCTGTCGGATGTTTTTGCAGAGGCAATATCTACCCGTCAGGTCCTTTCATTGTACCAGGGCCTGGGAACCAAGAACTTGCAATCTTTCATTGCTCAGTTTGTCTACTTCTATGGGTATAGCTACTTCAAAAGGTTGTATCTGGAAAGGACTGGTTTCAAATCCATTGGAACAAGAGCTAACTTGATTCTTGCTGCTGCTGCTGGGGCATGTACTGCCATTGTGACTCAGGTAGTTTTTTTTTATCATTCTGCAATCTCCAGCTTGAAATTGTTTTAAAAAACGTGAAACTGGTGATGCAGAACCTGAGAATGCTATCTATATTGCAAACCTCAATTTCAGCTTCTGTTTTGTGTGGCATTATAAATGTAATTTAATGATGTACTTGGTATCATGAAGACCTAGAAAAGACTTTATAAAGGGTGAAGTGCAAATGTTACTTCAGCTGAATTTGGCAAGGAACTGAAGAAATTACTCGATGTTGCGATTGTATGACTAGATTCTTTAGTATGATTTGAAAAACCAAAGAATGACATTTATTTTGTGAAATACCCAACTTTTCTGTTATTTGAATAAAAACTTTATAGACTGAATTACCCTGCAGTTGGTTTCTGATTACATGTAGGAAAAGGAAGAAATTTTATATACATGGGCTGGAGTGGTGGTAAAAAATTTATATACATTGGGCTAAATTTTTTTTTCTGTTTGCCTCCTGGAATCCTAGGACAAATAGGGGTTGCAATGGTTTTTGTATCATGCAAATTTTCTTTCATTACCCTTCATCATCTTGTTCAACTAAATGTAACATATATGTTTCACTTCTAAAATTTTTCATTACCCTTCATCATTTTTTGTATCATGCAAATTTTTTGTTTTACTATGTAGCCACTGGATACAGCATCATCGAGNTGTTTCACTTCTAAAATTTTTTGTTCAAACCACCTGATATTACTATGTAGCCACTGGATACAGCATCATCGAGGATGCAGACAAGCGCTTTTGGAAAATCAAAAGGGCTTTGGCAAACACTTACGGAGGGCAGTTGGAGTGAAGCATTTGACGGCCTTNTATGTTTCACTTCTAAAATTTTTCATTACCCTTCATCATTTTTTGTATCATGCAAATTTTTTGTTTTACTATGTAGCCACTGGATACAGCATCATCGAGGATGCAGACAAGCGCTTTTGGAAAATCAAAAGGGCTTTGGCAAACACTTACGGAGGGCAGTTGGAGTGAAGCATTTGACGGCCTTGGCATCTCTCTTCTTTTGACTTCGAACCCCGCAATTCAGGTACTCGATCTTACCTCAAGAAATGATGTTATTATCCTAAAGCAAACAACTTAAACATGCACATTTTCCTTTAAATAGAGAACATTTAAACTGATACTAAGTTTTAATTACTGCAGTATACGGTGTTTGATCAGCTCAAACAAAGACTTCTTAAGGAGAAGCNCCAACCCCGCAATTCAGGTACTGGATCTTACCTCAAGAAATGATGTTATTATCCTAAAGCAAACAACTTAAACATGGACATTTTCCTTTAAATAGAGAACATTTAAACTGATACTAGGTTTTAATTACTGCAGTATACGGTGTTTGATCAGCTCAAACAAAGACTTCTTAAGGAGAAGCAGAGTAAAATGGAGAAGGGTTCAACCCCCGAAGCCCTTTCTGCTTTTTCCGCTTTTGTGTTGGGTGCNGGAGAAGCAGAGTAAAATGGAGAAGGGTTCAACCCCCGAAGCCCTTTCTGCTTTTTCCGCTTTTGTGTTGGGTGCGGTTTCGAAGAGCATTGCCACCCTTTTGACATATCCAGCAATCAGGTTTTTTAGTATCCTTTCATGCTCTGTTGCATTTAACAACTTGACCATATTTGGAGCATTTAATAAAGATTGCAAATAGGTGTAAGGTCATGATCCAGGCTGCAGACTCCAGTGACGACGGGGCTAAGAAAGAGCGACAAAAATCCCGCAAAACAATATCTGGTGTTCTTCATGCTATTTGGAGAAAAGAAGGGGTGCTGGGCTTCTTTAAGGGATTGCGGGCTCAGATCTTGAAGACTGTATTGAGCTCTGCATTGCTTTTGATGGTAAAGGAGAAAATCACTGCAACCACTTGGGTACTTATACTTGCAATCAGAAGGTCTCTACTGCTAACAAGGGGTACGATAACGGGTGGATGAGTTAGTTGGAAATATGGACTTCATAGAATAAACGAACTATACAGTGCTCGAGTAGGAAGCTCTAGGTCTGGCAAAAATGCTGCACGTCTTGTTAAACGATAATCGTGCAGAGCCCTGAATAAGACAGTATGAACACATGACTGTTATGTAGCTGAAACCTCAGAAGTAGTTCCATTATAAGAGAGAATCTGATGCCGGATATTCACCAATACATAGACATAGAGAAATACTAACATTAGTCCGTGTTGGTGCTTCACCTCAGAATAAACTTATATCTGGAATTGAGAGCTCTGCATTCTATCAGAATAATTTCTTCGGTCTCATCTTGAGGTAATCATAGGTTTATTTTCAACTTGGCATGTAAGGAAATCTTTAAATGGCATGTGTTTGTGAATCTAGCATGTTTTTCATTCACTTGGAATGAGTTTATTAAGGTTGTTCACAGATCATATAGCTCTATATTTTATGATGCTTATAAATTGTCAAACAGTTTATGCTGATGGGTTTATTGTCCCAGCCCGTGCTGGCTTCTTCTTCCTCTTTTTGTTGATTTGTTTTCTCTTTTTTTTTTTT